AATTAGCCTAATGTCTCCTTGTAACTCTTCTTCACTGCAGATTACTCAGATTCTGTGTCACTCTGCTGACTATTCAGGGCACAGCCTCCCAGCTACCAGCTTCCTTCCTAAATCTAGCATCTTCATATCTGTTTAGAGGCATGAAGGGGTGAGGAGAATCATTAAAGACATCTATTAAGGTCCAAAGTATTGTTTACTTATGAGCGTCTCTCAGCTTCTCTCAGCTGCTGATCCTTCCAAACATAAGCAAGCTGTGGAAGAACCAGAAGAAAGAAAAGCAGGAGCTTTTAAGATAATGTAAGCCCCCCTCTACCTTTCATGTATGGCCCTTCAGTCATGTTCAGTTAAGGAATATTTTAAAAAGGAAAGAAACTTTCCCAAAATTCAAATGTTGTTGTAAAAAGCCAAGAGATAAGACGTTAGTCTTCCCTCACAGATATCTTACGGGAAGAGAGACATATTTCCATGCAAAAGGAATCATATACATAAACCTGAAACACATGAGGAGAATGGAAAGTAAAGAGGGGCTGTAAGGTGCAGGAGTTTAGGAGGACTTGGGGAAGGAAAGTTTGCCTCTGGAAGCTGAGAGCAGTTGGGGTTCTTGGATGGGAGAGAATTTAGGAGCAGGAAAAAGTAGGGGCCTAGGTGTGGGGGGATTTGTGGAGAAGTAGAGATGAGTTCCTCTGCTGTTAAATAAGTTGGAGCTTTAAGGTGGCTAGTAAGGAGTGGAAGACGAGGGACTCTGCATTGGCTTAGGAAGGATATGGGACTGAGGCAGAAGATGCTAGGGCGTGGGGACTCTGCAGTGAGAAGCTTGAGCTTTTGAAAGGATTGTAATCTTCCAGAGCAGCAAAGGTGAGAAACCAGGCAATGAGAGATGATATACAAGGCGGCTCTTCAACACTGCTCACACAAACATCCTTACACCTCTAACTGGAAGATCAGGGATACAGGCACAGGACTGCTTTCCTGCCACTCCCCTCTTCTGATACTTGGTTTCAGAAATATGATAGTTTTGAGGTCTTACATCATGCATGGGTTTGGGAAGGGCATAGCTGGAAGAGGGTGTGATGGAGAAGTTAGACTGCACTGTATAACAAGCATTCGGATTTGAAAGTTGTGATGGCATTAAACAGTGCTTATAATAACACACCTTATCGTTACACAGCTTCATTTTGTATACTTCCTCTGCATGTTCCGTATTTGCATCCTTGACATCAATATAGTAATGATCCATGTTTACAGACAAGAGAGTTCATTTTTATATTGCAGTACTTCTTCCACTGCTGTTTGTTAGAAGAGCAGTTGTGAGCTGTTTCTGTTGAAATACTGGCTCATATTCCTTTAGGATGTTCTGAAGTAGTTTTCCTGGAAAGCAAGCTTGGAAGCTGCTCTGCAATTTGTGTGGTATGCTTTGCAATAGCCAATTCTATGAGTAAACTAGTAGTAAGTAACGAAAGTACTCATATTCAGAGGAATTCCATAAAGGAATTAAGAAGTTTGGGTTGGTTCAATTCCTCTGCTGATGATCTGTGGATGTTAGTGACCGCTGGTCAAGATCAGGCTGTTCTGCACATCATATGATGAACCTGTGATCTAATCGTGCGTTATTTGGCACTTCTTATTACTTACTATGATCAGGACCTCATTGTGCTAGCCACCGTACAGACAAATATCTTGAACAAACAGTTCTTCCACAAAAAGTTTACAATTCATGCATCAGATCAGGAAGCTAGAAGCAGATACGAAAAAAGCAAACGAGGTGGGTTCAAGAAATAGATGAAGTAGCAATAAAACTGTGTAGGAGTAGCGGATGTCTCAGCCTACTTTTCTCCTCACGGTGCTACCTGGTAATGGTTTTTAGACTGCCTTACATAAGAAATAAATGAGAGGGTGATCATTTTACTGATGTTCATTAGGAAAAACAGGCAAGAGAGGAAGGGAGAATATAAGCAGCCAATGCCTGTGTTGTTGTCAGAGACAAAGCTGAAAGTTAAGAGAAAATTAGCAGAATGTGTCCTTAAATATACGGAACAAGATTTAGAACGCCTGTTTTAGGCAGTCAACCTAGGCTTTAAGTTGCTTAAGACTTAGGTGCCTCACTTCAGTAGGATGTGAGTGTCTCAAGTGGTCTGAAAGTAAATTATTCAGGAGTACAGGACATGGGATTTCACATACCTACCCCTGCTTGGCTCTCCACCTCCATCCTCTGTGCCCATTAAGCCAGCTTAAAAATACATATATTGGCATATATATTTTAATTTGGCAGGGTATTTTTAAGCTAAATTTATTCTCTAACCTGTTTCCCAGCCTGACAATCGGTTGTGTTGGCCCAGCTAAGGGAGCAGGATGTCATGGGGCAGACATGGGAACAAACAGTATGAGAGCAGCAAGAATTAAATTAGTCTGAAAACGACATATTATGAAACCACAGCCTAGATGTCTAGACTTGATAGAAGGCCAGTAGCTAGGTGCCTCCAAAAGGTGATCAGGAAAGCCTGTGCTCTGAGCTGAGGAAAGCTTAGAGAGAGGGAAGGAGGCAGGAGACAGTAACACAGACCAGCTGGCCTCCTTGCCCTGTCCAGTAGCTCTAGAGCCTGGCTCAGGACTAGACATTCAGAGCCTGGTGCCTTGTTGAGCAGGATCACCCGTTTTAAAGTGGTGGAGACTGCACACACCTGCTGTATGTTTCTGGATAGATTTAATTCTGTCAGTTGATGTTGAACCACTCTACCCAGGCATGGGACCAGGTGAAAGTCAGCAAGATAGCTTGACTCTCTATCTGAAAGCACATAGCTTTTATTTATTTTTTTGGGGGGGGGGAAGGGATACTTGCCTGCCAGTCCCTACCCCTTGAATTGGTTGGTTCTGATTGTTGCTCATCCATGACTAACTAAAGTAAAATAGAGAAGCAGACCTGTACAAGGGAGCACAGGAACCCAGATCTCTTTCCTTCCTCACTTGCTGAGCAGTTTTTATATTGTGATGAAAAGGAGCCCAAGGAGAGGAATAGAAGGGAGAAATTAGGATGAAGAAAAGTGTAGCATTACTACAGCAAGCAGGTGAGTTAAAAGGAGAGTGGACAAAAAACCTTGTTGCCACTGGGAGAAATTTGGATTGAACAAACCTGTTGATTTTTGCTGTGCAGACAAGATGCAGAACGGAAAGGCAGATGGTGATCAGAGCTTGTAGGGGTTGAGAATACACATCTGAAATTATGAGGGACACTAGAGGTGGTAGAAGAAGAGCTGTCTTGTAAGAAAATGCAAATACATCCAAATGTCAAGAAAAACAGGAGAAAAGAGGAAGGAGATTGGGGAGCCCAGTGGGTGATGGAAGTGATAGATCCTAGAACAGGAGAAGTTACTGAGTGAAACAGGCTCAGCACTTTTGAGACAAACCATACGTGGAAAAAAGGAAACAAGAAAGATATGACGGCAGGAATTCTGAGAGGAAGGGAAAAATTATCAGTGGATGGGAAGAAGGAGCAAGTAGAGAGCAGAGTAGCCATCAGATACAGGAGGCCCGGAAGACATGGCAAAGGGAAAGTGGACAGGCAAGTAACGGTGATAGTCTGAGCAAGACATTTTGAGAAATGTGTAGCTTTATATTTGCTTGCTAGGACAAAAAAACATAAAACCTCACAGACTAGAAAGATTCCACCTTTGTCGATTACGGATGTTGAGTGCCTTCCGAAGCTTTAGAAACTAGTCATTGTTATAGACAAATCTGGGATACATGGCCTTTTAGTCTAGGGCAGTCTCGCAATTCTTGTGCTGTTATTTATCTTGCCAAAATACACATTGTCTAATAATGAAAAGGAGCTGTTGAGAGAATCCAGACAGAGCATTACTATGAAAGCAAATCTAGTACTTCACTACAGTGGCAGCTCCCGTTATGGACAGTATCCCGGTTGCCCAAGAAGAATGGGAAATGGAAATGGAAACACAGGTTCTTTCTGTAGTGTCAATTAAAAAGAGAGCAACGCCCACATTTCTAAAAGGTGCTTGTTGGGCTGGCCATGAAAAGCAATGCTAGAAGACCTGCAGTCAGTTCCAGTGTTTGTGGTGTTACCTTCTATGATAATGTCAGTGAAAAGTTACCTGGGTTTTTTTTTTTTTTTTGCTGTGATTAATCCTAAGTGCAACTTAGGTGGGAGGGATTAAATAGAAAAACCTATTTTTCAGTTTTGCTTTTAATTTCACCTTTGAGACAGAACTGACCTTTACCGTTTTACTACGCTAGGTGTGTTTTTGAAGGGAGACATGTGGTATCTGAGAGTTTCATAATCACACTTTGCTAAATTAATTATGAAAAATCATTTGTCTATTGCCAAAGCAGTTAGGTGAGAGAAGAACAATTTGCTTCACTGAACTAAAGCAGGACTCTTGAAGAGGAGAGAGAAGCTGCTCTATAAAGAATGCAATTATGCAGAAAAATCTGAGCTGTAAAATTGATCATTCTTTTGCTGATGCTCTATGATCCTGTATTGGCTCACCCTGTTTAACACACTTGATTGAACTCTGTATAAGATGCCAGTCTACTGGATTGTTTGAGACCTAGCCTTGGCCCGTTGGTACTGTCCTACTGACCCTCTTCCTGTTACTCACAACTTTTGTGATCATCCAGAAGACAGAATCCTTCCATAGGAGCTCCGTGAAGCGTAGGCTCTAGGAAAGCACGTGAGGAGGCTAGAGAGACTTTGTAGACCAGAGAAGCAAGAATCCTAAAACTGTATCTTATTCTTCGTCTAGGTAATGCAGCTTTCATTAACATGAATGGAAGTCACTCACATGCCCAGGAAGATGAAGATATCCTCAAACCTGTGCCCAAACACAGCTGTTTATCATGGCACTGTTATGCAGCTTCTTTATTAGCTTTGTAGTCTAAATGGCCTGGAAATACAGCAAATGATTTAAAAGTAAAATACCCACCTTCCTTCACTTGGTGTTAATATTGTTGTGTTAGCGGGGGTTTTTGACAGCTCATTTTTTCTTTAGGCAGCGTTAAGTGCCTTGAAACAGTTTTCAGAACAAGGACTGGATCCAGTGGAAGGGGCTATGAAAGTGGAAAACGGATCACTTGAAAAGTAAGTACCTTTTAAATCCTCTGCATTTTAATGCCTGTGTGGCATGGTAGATAAGAAATGTTAATTAAGAGCTTAGCTGCCCTTTTAAACCTGTGCAAAAAAATTTCCTTTGGAATTTACATAAAATTTTTCACAATTTGAGAGCATAAACAGGATTTCAGGTTTAGCTTTACAAGTAGTATTAAGTAATGAACTATTAGGCAGTCAGTCCTCCTATGGAAATGCTAAAGAGAAGGATTTTCTTTTTATTTTATGGATTCTCTGTAATTAGCATAGCATGATTTTTGTCAAATGTGTTACAGCACGTGATATCTCCTGTAAATGGCTATCTGCCTGTAAGTCCTTATGTCTGCAGGATGAATTTTACCTTAGAGAATTTAAAAGTAGGTTAAAATCTCTGTCAGATCTTAAAAACCTGTATGTGGAGCGTTAGTTTTAAGTAGCAGACAATAGATCCAGGTTTCGCGCTGGATTTTCAGTTATTTCAAAAAGCAGGATTATCTTCAGAACCTAGTATAGATTTTTTTCCAGTTGTTAGTCTGCTTAAGTAAAAAGGTAACCTTCTCTTACTAAATAAATTAGGAAGTAATAGAATAAGAGAAAAAAGACTGTAAGTGGCATTTGGAATTTTCAAAGGACATATTGTATTTTTTTTATAAACTAATTTAATCAGAAACATTTTCCATATGATCTCATCAGCCTAGTATTTGAACATAAATATTGTTATTTCACTTTAAAATGTTACCTTCCATAGTGACCTTTGAATCTCATGTGCCATCTGCTAATAAACATGTCTTAAAGATGTGCAACCCTGGACCTTACCACTCTTGTTAATGTATTAATCTTTCAGACAAGTCAAGCATCTGGGAGAGAAAGCAGACAATAAACAGACTAACTCAGGCACCATTGCTCAGGACTGCAAGGATTCAAAGGCTGTCGTCTAGGAGCTTCCCAGCGCCCACGGCTGCCACTGCATCCTTATAAACCTGTCAACACGCAATAGGGTGTATGTGTACAAGGAAATGGATGACTAATACCATTATTTGAGTCTTATGTGAAGACAACACTATTCTAACACAAGAGATAGTATACATGGTACTGTTTATTCAACTGCGGAAAAAAACAGAATCGAACATTTCCCTTAGAGCCTGAGATCAGAGCATAACTCAGTTGCCCAGAGGCAGAAGAAATCTGATCATGTTACTGGAGGTTAAAATAACAACTAATTAAAAAAAAGTGTTAGATAAAAAAGGGAAATTTTAAAACTGATTAATATTGAGGAAAACAAGTCAGCATTGGTTCAGTTATACAATTTTTTCGTAGTGTAGTTTAAGTTCAGCTTACTGTTTTTTAAATAATGCTTGAATATTTTAAAAATAACCAATGACAGTGCTGTGAGAATTGTAGTTGTTGTCTTCATATATAGTCATACAGCTTATCTTTTTATGCAGACATTATGCATTCTTCATTCTATATGAATATGTATGACTTTAAGATGCACTACTCAGAGTTGTATGCAAACAGAAGTTTAAATCATGACAAGTATTTGCTTAACATGAACAGATGTTAGTTACGATCAGTCTCAGTATACTCCAGGAAAAGCAGATATGGTATTTGATTTTCCTTGCCATAATCAATTAAAGAGGCGTCTTGCCTCCAAGCAACATTTTCCCCCTTCAATTCTGCTCTCTGTTGTGTGAAGCACATCTACACCCCATTCTGTGTGTTGTATCAACCCACCGTTTGCATCAACTGAGTGTTTTTAATCTCTGCATTCTGACCAAGAGCAAAAGATGGGATTGCAATGTTATCTAGCCAAGGAAGGAAAACTGTCGATGTAAAGATCGTTCTTTTGTAAAAGGAGTAGCAGCAGAGATAAGACCTGCGGCTGCGCTCTGTACCAGCATATTCGTTCGAGTGTGTGGCCAAATGCAGTAAAACCACATCAGTTCATGTGTACGATGACAGTGTCGTCTCTTTCTTTATCATCCACGCTTAGACAGCTCAGAAAATGGATTGAAAAAAAGAATTTCAAACTAAGGAATGACTGGCCAAAATGCCAAAACCAGGGTTCAGCGTACCTTTCTCTATGAGTCCACCTTCTACAAGCTTATTATGTTAAAGCAGTCATACTGATATTTAAGTCATTTATTTATCTTAAATACAACTATTTATTTTAAGCCTTATGCGATAAACACATAAGGCAGCTACCAACTGCACAGCAGTTGTGACAACATTGCACAAGATTTTAGCATGTAAACCAGAGATCACAACCCAGGTGACTCACTCAGGTAAACAGACAAAGAGCAATGTACGGAAATGGTGCAAGCTACAGTGGAATTGATTCACCTCTGTGAAAGTCTTTCAGGGCAACATCTATCATGCTTTTACAGGGTGAGTGGTTGCTAAAAATTCTAAGTCGGTTTTTCTCAGGGGTATGATTCACTCTCCTCCCAACAGATTAAGAGCCTTTGTGCTCAGAGTTTGCAGTTTATCTAGGGTCTGATTCTGTGGCGTATAAAACAGTCTGGAACAAGCTGAGCCTTTCAATTCCCACAGAACTGGGAGACTGCCAGAGGCGTTTGGCACCTGGCAGACTCCAGTTCTTAAGGTAGCAGCATACAAAAATACTTAGATCTTTCACAGTGTCTTTCTCAAGGATATGCTATCTGCCTAATTGGCTACCAAAGTAGAAAGTCTACTGCTCCTTCAGCTAAGCAGCCAGCTGAGGTAGTTCAGAAGCAGGATCAGTCTGTGCTCAAGCAGTACCTTCTAGCACACAGCCAGCGTACAAAAGGCATTATTGTCCTCTCCCATGGAGAACAGGAACAAAAGGAAGAGACAGACCTATTCATTGACAACTCTGATCATTTGCATTTGCCTCAGGGACAAGAAGCTGAGGTTGCTGGGAATAATATGACAAGGAGACTGAGAGTACGGCCTCCCAGGCATTAACAGTACTTCTGTCGTGTGTTCCTGGTCCAGCCACTACAGAGAAACCCTTTGGCAAACCTACTCTGTACTGGTTTGCCCAGTAGCTCAAGATACATCCACTGATCTGGGAACCAACCAGAGCAGACTATAGCATCTTATGCTCAGCCGGAGCGTGAATGACAAACCTTAATCTTTTGAAGCCCAGACGTCAGCAGTAGCTGCATAGTGTTCCGATACCTCTGACCACTAGCAACGTGCTGACGTTCCCTACGCAAAGCCACAGAAATGCACCCCGTAATCTTCAGATTAGCTGCTTTGTTGCGTTCATGGCAGATGGCCTCTCCATTGAGCGCTGGGCTTGCTACAGTGCCCATGGCAGAAGTGCAAAGTGGTGCTTAGACCTCACTCTAAACGAACAAATTGCAACCAAATGCATGCAACTGGTTATCTAGGCCCAGGCTGGCTCATTCAGCCCCTCCTTTCTGGACAACAGTACAGAAGGGTCAACTCTATGCAATTGTCAACATCTCAGGTCCTCTTGTTGGTCAGAGAGATATTTGATTCTCACTCTGGCAAAAGCAAGTCAGGTAACTGGGGGAGCTTGTTCATTTTCTTGAAACTACAGAAATATGGAATAGATTTATTTTGGGGTCGTATATTAGCAGGATTTCTAAGTATTTTCCAAATGCAGGCTTCTCTAATATTTGCGGTAATCACAAGTCAGAAAGTTCTGTTCAGTCTGAGGTAAAGTGCACACAGATGGCAGTTTTAAAACACCTCCCAAACTGCAGGTTAAAAGCCTCACCAAAGAGGTTGCAATGAAGTCTAAGAGCGTTTCCTGACATAAATCTGAAGAAAGAGTTCCTGCTACGTACAGGTATGGGTGGGAGCACAGAGACCTTAATGTGGAGCTCCTCGAGATACCACACCTGAACTCCATTATGCCATTTTTAGTGTTATTTTAACGCACTGCAAGGCTTGTGTCTCAGATTTCAGTCTGTCTGCCTGCATATCACATACAGGAAGTTTCTTAAAGAAAATTCTGCAGTATTCTCACACACACATATAAAGCAATGAAATGTAAGTGTAGTTTGGCATTATCACTAGCAACTTCCCAAGAGCCTGAGGAAAATTCTTGCACCAGAGGTGTTGCAGCAGGCAGTGGACATGTCTCCAATCTTCAGTCTTGTCAGTTCACAGCTGTTCCTGTTAGTTCAGAGCTGACAGCATCTCAAAGCTTCTGGAGAAAGCTTTAGTCCAATATAAAAAATATTTTTTTTCCTTCAGCGGCCTCAATTGCTTCCCATAATCGGAGAAAGGTTGGTAAACAGGGGCAAATAGAACAAAGCACCCTTTGTATTTAATTATGATCAATAATTAGCTAATGGTGTACAGTGAATATTGGAAAAGAAGCAGTGTGTTTTGAATGGGATTATGGTTCATGGTTGAGGTTTATTCTAAACATTCTAAAATAGTTGAGGTTTATTCTCTAGCAGCGGTAAATTGTTTTTATTTATATTTTAAGGTTGTACCGTCTTTGAGGGAGAGACTTTGTCAATCCTCTATTTGCAAAGCACTGAGAATAGTTTAGTTCCCTGTTGAGCATGCATTCTGCATCTCTCATCCTACATCACAAAGCACCTTGCAAAGATGAGGAAAAATGCCGTATTTTATGGATTTGGATCAGAGGTACAAACTGATGCTAGGAACAAAGCTGGAAACAGTACTCCTTTGGCAAAGACTGCTGAGAGCCCTATCGTGAAGACTCTGTTCAACTCCTTTTAAGGACTCAGGAACCAAATTGCCGTCCATTGTGGACAACACTCATTAATCAGGAGGAATTATGTTTAGGGCAGACTAATACCCTCAGGTATCCTCTCACAAAATCTTTTCAACACCCTCTGGGAATCAACAGCTTACACAGGAAAAGCCTCATCACAGAGAGACTGTAGGAATATGATATTACTAGAAGGAAGAGAATTGACACGATTAATTTTATATCTATCTGAGTTATCACGCCCAATTGCGCACTGACCTGTCAACAATTCAACATATTCTGGAACCTTCTGTTCTCACAGTGACACAGATTTAGCACTGAGCTCCAGGCAGACAGATGTGCTGCTTGCAACAAATGCGAAATACAGCAGCATCAGGGCCATAGAGCTGGAGAAAAGGATGAGGATTTCTATGGTTCTTCTCCAACCATCCCAGCACTGACTTCCCATTTACAACGAAACTGAGCCTCAGCTATAGTCCGCCCTGAATTCAACATGCTACTGTATAATTACACCTGATTGAAGTCGTGGCCAGAGGATTTAAAAGATGACGTGTTCACCAGCAGCATTTTTAAAGGGTCTTTGTATAATGGGTAGAGAAGAATCTCAGGAGTTCTTGTTCTCCCTGTCGTCTCTCGCCTCTTAAGCATGAGGAAACGGGGCTGAGCCACCACAGAGTTTAAAGATCAGTATGGGAGTAGTCTAGATGAATGACTCCAGGAATATGGAATCCTCTTCTTCGTGGCCTGAAATGACAATGAAAACAAATCCTTCTGAAAGTATATGCAAAGCGCTTGATCCCTCTGACAGTACTTTCCTGCCTGTATTTTTTTGGTGGGTGGCTGCTTGTTTTTGTTCCTGTCTCTTTGGCCTGCTCCGATTCTCCATGAAACAGCACAAAAGTTTCCCATTTCCTGCAGGGAGAGTTCACCGAAGTTTTTAAGCTGAATTTGTTTCCCAGTTAACAGGCGGGGCTTTTTGTTTGTTTGTTTGTTTGTTTCTTTGCAAACACTATGTAAAAATAAATGTTCCTGGTAACATCTCTTTATCCCCCCCCAGAAACATCCAGGATTTCTCCGCTCTTAGTTGCACCTCAAAAGCAGTTAGAGTTATCTTTCTTTGCTCAAATAAAAATGTCCTTTGTAACAGAGAAAAAATAGTAGAGGATGAAAGCTTATTTTTAATGACAGTGAGGACAAGGACTTGTCAGAGGCCTGACTACAGCATTGCATAATTTTGTACTCAGTTGGGGACATTATTCCATTGGCAAGTGGGAATGGCTGGTCATTGTCCTTCATCAGTTTTTTTTTTTTTTCACTAAAACACAAGAAGTTAACTGCATTGAACTACACCTAGAACAATAGTGATAAGCATGTATATTTGGCATAGCTCCCCTAGGACATCTCCCGGAGAGCTGAAAGGAGAGACGTGTACCCTGAGTAACAGCTAGCTCCTACCTTTCACTGTCTGTAACTGATGAACCTCAAGCTGAAGGATAAGGTGTCATCAGGATGCGGTACAGGGAAATGCAGCTTCCCCTCGAGGCATTTACCTCTTGTACAGGTTTCCTTCTGTTTGTAGCTGCATTCCTAAGGCGTGATATGAGCTGAGCACGTGTGTATGTTGGTGGATCAGATGTGCATGAAGTGTTTTGGTGGTATGATTTCTATTATTCCACATGAACTGCACTGGCTTTCGTTTTTGATCATACAGCTTGTTATTTGCTTTATGCTGTTAGTCATGGTTGGCTGTGCACTTTTGTGCTTGGTGTTTTAACTCTGTAGCACTTCAGTACAAAGGAAATTTTAAAACTAACGATGAAAATGTTTCTAATCTGTTCTTAATTAAATAGCCCTCAATAATTGATTTATAAGAAGAGGGAAAGCATAACAGAATGGGCGCTAACCAGAAAATATCACTTATTTAAGGGCCAAACTTTCCTTTTATTTATGATCACCAGGATCCAGTGAAAGCATGAATGCCACTGAAGTTTTATCTGATAGCACTCAATAAATGAGAGGAAAATTAGTCCAGATAAGGCAGTTTTATGCCTCTCGATGCAATATATTAAAAATATATTTGTGCATTTAAACAGATTGCCTAGACCTGCTTATTCACTTTTGTTTGTGATTATATAGGCAGCAATTTTTCTTTCTAATTAGCCACTGTTACCTCTTAAAAATGTTCAAGGCCAATAATAACAATATCAATATAGCCAAATCCCTATATTACAATGGCCCATTTCCACCA